CACGCTGGATGGCTGGTCGGGTGTGAGGCACAGGACATCCTCCCCCAGAGCGGGGGGCACGGGGTCAGCTCTGCTGTGTTTGCCCCATGGGGTGCCATCCCCCAGCCGGGTGTCTCTGGGAGGGGGGGGCTGCGCTGACATCCCCACGGAGGGGTCTGCGGCCCCCGAGGGGAACTCCTGTGCCGGGGCCATGCTGGCAATGCCGTTCAGCACCTCCTCGGTGAACTCGGCCAGGTCCTCCAGACTGGCCTCCCGGTGCAGCCCGTTCGCAGCCCGAGCCCGACCCTCGGGCTCCGGCGCCTCCTGCACCGTCGGCTCCTCCTCGCTGGACGAGGCCGGTGAGGAGTCTTCCCCAGCATCCTGGGGGAGCTCGGTCCTGCCAGGACCCTGCTGCCCTCCCTCGGCCGCCCTCGCCCCCATCACCAGCTCCTGGTTGAACTCCAGGGCCTGCTCAACTATTTCCAAAATATCGGAGTCCTTCATGACATCCACGGGCACCTTTGGCGGGAGAAGAGCTGTGTCAGGGATGTCTGTGATCACCTCTGGAAAACCTCTCTGCTCCAGTGCAGAGCCCGGCCGGGGTGGGTCGGCCTCGGGGGGCTGCTCATCCCCTGCTGAGGGGGGGCTGTCACTGTCTGGTGCTTCCTCCTCCACGGGCGGCTGCTCATCCGACGGCTGCTCCGCCTGCTCCGGCACCGCCTGGGCCTGGAGCTCTGCTGGAGGGGTGGCCTTGGCCGTGTCAGGGTGAGCCATGCCAGGCTCATCCTCATCCTCATCCACCTCCTCCTCCTGCCCCACCAGCCCCAGGCTGCAGCCTGGGAGTGCTGTGGCTCCACTGGCATCGCTCTCCAGCTCCACCGTGCCATGGAGCTCCTCATCCCATTCGGCAGCCAAACCCTCAGAGTGGTCGGGTCCCTCCTGTGCTCCGGTGCCTGTGGCACCCTGGGCTGGCTGGTCAGTGCCTCCTGTTAATGGTCCCATGGCCCCGGGGCTGCTGGGATCTGCTTCAGGCATAGCTGGGCCTTCCTCCAGCTCAGCAGTGCCATCCTCCTCCTCATCCTGTGGCTTCTCAGGTTCTTCTGTGGGCATCTCCATGTCTTCTTCTGCTTCCCCAACAAAAGTCTGGAGGTGCCCTTTGCCCTCTGGCACTGGAGATGCTTCTCTGGGAGCTCCCAGGTCACCTTGGCTGCCTTCAGTTGCTTCCACTTTAATTTCTTCAAAGTCCTCAGAGATCTCAGCTTCCTCCGAGCTGGACACCTCTTGGCTGGGAGCAGAGACCATGAAATATCCTTCCTCCTCCTCAGCACCCTCTGCCACAGGGGCCACCTCTGCCTCTGCCTCTTCTTCAGGGCTCTCTGGCATGGTGGGAGTCAGTGGCTTGTCCCCCCCTCCCAGCCACTCTTCCCCCTCCGGAGCTGTTTCGGTCACAGGGTCTGTCTCCGTGGTCTCCTCAGTCTCTGGGGGGGTTTGGCTGGGTGCACCCCCAGCCAGCATCTCCCCCTCGTAGAGGTGCAAGGGTGTGCTGTCCGGCAGGGTGTCCTCCAGCTCCACCCTCCTGCCGGTGCCTGGGATGGGCTCCGAGTCTCCCGATCTCCCAAAATCCTCCTCCGCCCACTCACTGCTCTCTGTGCCCTCACCTGACACCTCCTGCAGTGCCTCGAGGCCGGAGCTGCTGCTCTCTGGCTGCCCCAGCTCTGAGCCGAGCCCCTCTTCAGCATCCTCACCCTGCACCTCCCACGGCTCCTCGGGAGCCTCGGCCGGCTCCTGGCTGTCCCCTCGCCCAGGGGCATGTGGGGTGGCTGGGTCAGGCTGCCCTGCAGTGCCCTCCTGCTCCTGCCTTGCCAGCTCCGCTGCTGGCTCAGCCTCTGGCAGTGGTTGCTGCTGGCTCATCCCCTGGCTCTTGGCATCTTCTTCATCGTCTTCCTGGGCTTCCTCCAGCTCTGCTGGCGATGTGCCATCTCTCTCCTCACTTTCCAGCCTTCCTGTGCTGGACGGAGTGTCATCAGCCCAGGCTGACTCTTCTGTGCCCAAAACCCCCTCTGTGTCCTCTGCTGTCACCTCCCAGTCCCCTGGACAGGGCTCTTGGCCATTGCCATCATCCCCCTTGCCCCAGGACTCCTCTTCCAGCTCCAGCTCCTGTTCCCCACCCTCTTCCACAGAAGCTCTGGCTTCCTGCAGGTCCTCAGGCTCCTCTGGGGCTCTGCTCTCCCACCCCAGGGTGTCACCTCCTGAAGTCTCTCCTGCCTCGGGATCCTCTCCTGTCCCGGGATCCTCTCCTGCCCCAGGGTCCTCTCCTGCCCCAGGGTCCTCTCCTGCCCCAGGATCCTCTCCTGCCTCAGGGTCTTCTCCTGCCCCAGGGTCCTCTCCTCTCAGCATCTCCCTGCTGGCCTCTCCCTCTTCTCCCTCACCATCTTTCACTCTGCCTGTGTCCTCCCCTCCCACAGCATCTTCTTCAGCTCCTGATGAAGCCTCCTCTGCTGGGATGGCCTCATGGACAGTCGAGGGCTCCTGCTCTGGGCACAGCTCCTGTCCCCTTTCCTGCTCTGCAGCCTCTGTCTCACATGCAGTAATTTTCTGATGCTCAGAATTTTCCTGCTCTGCATCAACAAAATCCTCTTCCAGGTGACTCTTCGTGGGTGAAACCAGGTGGCTTTCCATGAGGACAGCACGAACAGCTTCCACTTCCCCATCTGGAGACTCCTCTTCTGGCTCATCCCCTCCTTCTCCATGGAAATCTCCGTCCTCCTGACAGGGACTGCGGAGTCCCCTCTCCTCCTCATCTTCTGAGGGTTGTGATGGCTCCGTGCTTGGGGTCTCTTCCCCATCCTCCTCTTGCCCTGGTTTTTCCCAGCTGGTCGCTGTCTGTCCAGGACCACTCACATCCTCTTCCTGGACCTCTGCCTCTGGATCCCTTGGGCTCAGCCCAGCAGGCACCTCCTCCTCCTCCCACGCTCCCATCTCTTCCCGTCTCACTGTGTCACTCAGGGCCGTGCCCAGGGGGGACGTGGCTCTGTCCCCCAGGATGCTGCTCTCCACACCCAGCCCCTGGAGCTCGGCTGCCCCAGCCCTCTCCTCCACTTCGGGGCCATCACCGTCCCCAGAGCCCTCGGAGGCGTCTTGCCCTTCCCCCGTCCCCTCTGCCACAGCCCCTCCACAAGCCTCTGTGGGGAAAACGGGGCTGGGGGCACGGGCATCCTGGGGGGCCCAGGCGGCGCTGAGGGTGGGCTCTTCCTCGGGCTGAGCATCGTCTTCCACTTCCTTGAGCGCGTCCTGCAGGGCGTGGCTGACCAGCTGGGCCGGGTACTGCAGGCTGCGGGTGGGCGCCGTTCCGGGGGGCTTCACCCCGTCCTCGGGGCTCTCTGTGTTGGCTGCTCCGGGCAGGGGATGCTCCGTCCCTCGGCTCGTCACCCCCCCGGCTCCCCCCGGCCAGGCGGGACCCTCTCCCCCTGGGCTCCCCGGCTCCGGTGGGGAGGGGCTGGGGGGCTCCGGGGAGAGAGGAGGGGCAGCTTGGGAGGGGCTCGGTGTGGGGCAGCCGGGGGCACCCGGGCGCCCAGCCCTGCCAGCAACTGTGCCGTGGAGGACTGAGCTGATTTTCTGGAGCTCCCTGGCATCGGGGCTCTGGCTTTTGGGTGTCAGGGCGTCGCTCTGAGGTTTTGCTGGCTGACCCCTCCCCTCTGCCCTGGGGAAGACAGAGGGGCTGGCGCCGTGGTCCCGGGGCAGCAGCCGCCTGGGCTCAGGGCTTGCTGGTACCAGTTTGCTGCCGCTGCTCGCCTCCAGTTTGAGATCTGCAAAGAGGGAGTTGGAGCCGTGAGCGGCTCCAGAAGCTGCTCCATGGCTCCCTCAGCCCTCCCCTGCCGCCTAGCAGCCTCTCGCTGCCCCCTCTCCTATTTTTAAACAACCCCTTCATGGAAAGTGGGAAATTCCTCCCTCTTGAGTGCAGCGGATGCTGATGTTCCCAGGGGATTTGGCATCGGGCCGGGACAATGCGCTGTCCCGGCTGCAGCCCTCAGTCGGGTCCTGCTGCTGGGGAAAGTGTGCAGGTGGGAGGCTTTCCTTGTTATTTTTTTTGGAGGAAAAAGGAAATGCTCGGCTTGTTACCGCAGCCCGTTGTCCAGCTGGGCGGATCCGCTCCTGCCCTGCCCGGGCAGGGCAGGCATTAAAAAAAGAGGCAAAGAAGCAGATAAACCTTATCTGGGCTGAGAGCCCCGTGCCAGGAGCCCCCCGGCCGCTGTTCACACCTTCCTATCGCAGCCAGGAAACCGCTGCCAGGAAAATGCAGGAAAATGCGTCCATATCCAGCCTCGGCCCCCGAGCCCCGCCCCAGGGTGACACAGTGGCGGTGCAGGGGCTGGCGCTGGGGGTCTCTTACCTCGCACGCCGTTGACCAGTCTGAATTCCCCGGCTGGCATTTGCAGGCGGGTGCTCTCCGCTTCCAGCAGCGTCCTGCGAGGAGGGGAGAGTGGTGGGTGCTACAGGGTGGGTGGGTGCTCCCTGTGCACCCCCAGCTCACCCCGCTGGGCTACGGCAGGTGAGGGAGTAGGTAAACTGAGGCACGAAGGGGCTACAAATGGTTGTGCTGCCCTGTCACGGCTCGGTGAGGGGATGGGGGCACTGGAGGAGCCCCCCTCGCTCCTGTCTCCCCTCCCATCCCCCCGTGCCCGGGATTAGTGTACTCGCAGGGTGACATCATGCTCTGCCGGGGAGGCCCCTCGCCTGGGCTGGGACAGCCCCTATTCTCATGCTAATTGTCCCCCCAGTCCCTGGCAGGCGGCCTTTGTGTGGGGCCATCTGGAAGGGCTGCACAAGGGGCACAGGGCTGCCCCTACCGAGACCTCCCTTGTGCCCGAGACCCTCCTGTGCCCACCGAGGTTCGGCCCCAGCTCCCTGCGTGTTGGGGGAGCTCCCCGGCCCCATTCCCATCGGGAACCTCACCTGTAGGTCGCCACTTCCAGGCTGAGGGACATCTTGAGGTGCATGAGCTGCTGCCTGTCCTCCAGCACCCGGGCGATCTGCACCCGCAGGCTCTGCTGCTCCTGCTCCAGGGCCTCCATCGCCAGCTGTGGGCAGCACAGGGGTCAGGGGAGCCTCAGATTCACCCGAGCCCTGCCAGTCCCTGCCCACCTGGGACCAGGCAGGTGGCTCGTCCCCTCAGGATGCCGCAGGGAGAGGAGTCCTGGGGACAGGATTTTAGCAGGGGGACGCTGAGGATGGGGCGAGGAGAGGAGCAGGGCTGAAAGGCGACGGGGACACGGCTGCTGGAGGAGGGAGGAAAGGCCGGGGGAGATTTGGGACTGTGGGGTGCCAGCATGGGAAAGAAGAAACTTTCGGGAGAGCAGCCGAGGGCGCAGCACCCTCTGCCCCACGACACCCATGGCTGGTCCCCGGACCTGGAACAAAGAGAGACCCTTCCCCGGGCAGCGTTCACGCCGTTCCCGCATTCCCAGCCCCCCCTGCCTCCACCCCCCTCCGCTGAATCACTTTTGCAGCTGTTGACTTGCAGCTGCAGCAAAGTCGGTCGGAGTTTATCCTACCCACAACCCCCCTCCCTGCTACCTGCACCCCACTGCCTGCACCCTGCTGCCTGCACCCCGTGCCAGGGGGCCATGGGCAGAGGCTGCCCTTCCCCAGGGACCCTGACCCTGGAGCCCAGCAGGACGTGGAGCAGTGACCTCGGGCAGGTGTTGGGGGAGGTCTCTGGGTGCTGCTTCCCTGCAGTGTGGGGGGCCCAGGTCCCTGTGTGTCCCCAAGCTGCTCTGCTCTGTCTCCCACCCTCCCCAGCTTCATCTCCCTCTGCAGCTCCTCCAGGGCCACCGTCCACCCCTGCCCTGGGGTTTGCTCCCTCCATCTTCCCTTCTCCCACCTGTCTCCCCCATCCCTTTGCTGAAGAGGGGTGTGCCCTGAGGCCCCTCCCAGGCACCCACAGCCTCCCATTCTCCCCTTCCCCAGGATCCCAGCACCTCCCCACCACCCTCACTCACCTGGAACTTCTCTGCCTCCCCACGCTGCTCCTGCCACTGCTGGGCCAGGCTCTCCTCCAGCATCTCCTTCCGCACTTTGAGCCCCGCCAGGTCCTTCTCCAGGTGCTGCAGCTGCAGCTGGCTCTTATGGTTGTCCTCCACTGCTTTCCACAGGTTCTCCTTGGCCTGGCAGAGGGAGCCCTCCAGCTGCGACACCTCCGTCTTGTAGGTCTCCACTGCCCCTTTCCAGATCTCTGAGAGCCTCTTGGAATAGTCCTCCACCTCCACGGGCTGGAAAGCCACCGGTGCACAGCGGAAGCTCTCCAGGCTCTGGGAGTAGCTCGCGATCTCCTGGTCCAGCCCCGCTTTCTCCTCCTCGTGCACCTCCAGCAAGGCTTCCACCTCCTTCTCCAGCTGCACGGCTCTCTCCTTCAGCCAGATCTGCGCTCTCCTCTCCTCCTCCAGCTCCTTCCTGCTCAAGGACAGCTGCTTCTTGGCCTCTTCTCGGGCTGCCTGCTCCTTCTGGCACCTGCTTTTCACCTGCTGGACCTCCTCGTAGAGGTTGTCCCTGGCCAGCTCGGCCGTGCACTTCTCCCTGAAGGCGTGATCCAGCGCATCCCGCAGGGCTCGCAGATCCTCCTCGTACTTCACCCGCCACGAGTCCCCGGCCGGGCTGCCCTTGGCGCTCTGGATTTCAGCTCGCAGCACCTCGTTCTCCTCCTCCAGGAACTTCACGCGGGCCAGATATGCCTCCAGCCGCTTGTTGAGGTCCCACATCTGTAGCGACTCCTCTCCCAGGGCTCTCGCCCCTGTGAAACTTTCCGTGCTCAGCATCGGCGCTGCCGGAGGGGGCCGGGGCTCTGGAGCCGGCACTGCCAGAGGAAGACGCAGGGGAGGAGGATGTCGGGGAGGATGCCGAGGCTCTGGAGGAGAGGGAGGGCAGGGAGGGAAGTGAGTGGCTGAGAGCAGAGGGGAGCGCAGCTATTCATACTCTGCGAGGAGTGGGAGGCCCCCGAGACACGGGCGAGCAGCCGGGTTTAACTCTTGCACAGCCGGGCTGGCTCCCGCCCACGTGGGCTCGAGGCTGAGCTCTGCTCCAGCACCGTGATGTCCCAACCGTGGGGAGGGGCAAGGTGCTCCTTTACACTTTGGGAGGGTGACTTGAGGGGTTGGATCCTCCCTCGGCGTGACTCGGCTGGGAATGCCCTCCCCAAAGCCCGAGTGCCATGCCAGGGAGCTGGAGGGCTGCCGTGGGGCTCGGCGTGGAGCTTGGGAGATGTCCAAGGGCAGTTGGCAGATGCCCATCCCGGAGGGCTTGGCTGCAACATCCCTCCCTCCAGTGTCTGGCCAGCCCTGTGCTCTGAAACCCGGGTGCAAGGGAGCCCAGGAGGAGCCCACCGAGGGTCTCACAGTCCTGGGGAGGTGATGGCTGCACCAAGAACACCGGTGCCACTCGGGACCCGGGGCTCTTTTGGGTCAACACAAACCACGGCAGATCCGGTGCCCTGGATCTGTCAGAGGGGAGAGAGGGAGAACCACCTTGGGGGACAGTGGGGGACACAGAGCGTCATCCTGGCCAACCCCCCGTCCTTGTGGTGCTGCATCCAGCTGCGTCCAGCTGCAACCCTCCTTCTTTCCAGATGTTCGGGGTGGGATGTGCCGAGCGCAGCCGGGAGCCCAACGGGAGCTGCTCCGGCAGCCTCTGAAACTTGGCAAGCGCCGGCTCAGCGTTTGATTTCCTTCACAGCTTCCACCCGCGCGGTCAGGCCGGCAGGGTCGGGATAAGAATCGCTTCACGAGGAGCGTTTGGGGATTAGGAGTTTTGATTTTCCTTCTTTATTTTCCCCAGCTGATTTATCTGGGGGAAGGGCAGCTCGCTGGTAAAGAGGCGGAGATTTAAAAAAATCAGACTCGGGAGGTTTCTGTGAACAAAAGAGGCAGGAAAACATCACTTGGGGAAAGACTTGTTGCCAGCTTTCTCCCGGTCCTCCCTCTCCCGAGAGACGGTGTTTTTTTCCCACAGGAGGGTCCGTGCTCTGTCCTCACCATGGCAAGGAGGACAAGAATGTCCCCTCCCGAGCTGTCTCACGGGAGAGGCTCCAAACGAGAGTTTCTGGAGAGACAAGCAACAGTCCCCTCTGCTGGCAAAGGACGCCCAGAGCTACCCAGAGCCGTCCCCGAGCTCCTTCCAGCCTCGCACCAGCCGGGAGCTGGTGAGGGGGGCCCCGACACCGCCCACACCTGGGAGCAGCAGTAACGGGGTCCCAGCACCCGGTTTTCCCCCGGTGCCTGGACAGATGACTTGGCTCGGGGGTCCCCAAAGGCATTGCCTTTCCGGCTCATCTCCGGCCAGACATCCTGTCTGGCTCCCTGGCCCCGGCTCTGGTTTGCCTCTCACAGCCAGGATTGAAATGCCATTAAGGAGCACAGGGAGCTCTGAGGTCGGATAATTCATCCGGGGTCCCCGGAGCCCCAGGCAGTGGGGGATGAAGCCTTGCTGTGTGTCTTCATCCTCCCCCTCTTCATTTCCATAGCACATCTGCTCCAGAGCTGGCCACCCCCACTGTTTGGCTGCTCCCACTCTCCTCCCCTCGGGATGTCCAGAAGCCTGCAGGGTGTCCAGGTGCCCCTGGGGTGTCTGGGTGCCCCCAATATTGGTGTCTGCCACAAGACAGCTCCCAGTGCCTGTGGCTACACCAGGACATGCCCTGGGAGGGAGCGTTTCCCTCCTCCCAAGCCTTGCTCCCCTCTTCCTCCTCATGCCTTTGCTTTGGGGTTCCCCACTGTGCCCAGGCCCCTCTCCCTCAGCCAGTGCTGGGGCTCGGTGGGACAGACCAAATCTTGCAACCCAAGGAGGACTCAGGGTCTCCAGGGGTGTTGAGGGGTCCTGACACCTCCAGCCTTGGGGAGAGCTGGGGGGCACCCTGAGGTGGGCATGTTTGTGTATCCCTTCCTTCTGCTGGGTGCTCAGGTTTGGGAGTGACTTGGGATGGGGTCATCTGTGTCCTTAGGGAATGCTGGGGGTCAGGACCCCCTGGGATGGAGGTGTCTGTGTCCCTGGGGGACACTCAGAGTCAGGAGCCTCCCTGGAGGGAGATATCCATGTCTCTGGGGAATTCTGGGTGTCAGGACCCCCTGGGATGGGGATATCTGTGTCCCTGGGAGGTGCTTGGCATCAGGACCCTCTGGAAGGGGGATGTCTGTCCCTGTGTCCCCCTGTCCCTGTGGGGTGCTCAGGGGTGGCCATTCAGCAGCAGTAGAGGTTTGGGGGGGCAGCAGGTTTGAGGGTGCCCCAGCCCTGCTGCCCCAGGGTGGGGGCTGGTGGGTGCTGTCGAGCCTGGCACAGGGTGCGTGGCAGCAGCTGGTACGTGACTTCAAGCAGGGCTGGAGGAGGAGGAGAAGGAGGAGGAGGAAGCACAGCTGGGCACTGAGGCCCTTCCAGACTGGACACAGCTGGGACTGGGGGGGGGTTGCAGTTGTGGGGGTCCCCATGAGGCTGGGAGCCCTTTCCATGCCCTTGGCTGCTGGAGCTGGGCCTGGGGCCATGGGAAGGGCTGGGAGGCCCCCTGCACCTCTGGAGCTGCAGGCAGGGATGGGTGCTCTCTCTCCCTTCTCCCCTGCCCGTTCCAGGAGCTGAATGTCCCAAGGGCTTTGCTCCATAGATTCCGATGGCCAGGAGGGACCAGGAGGGAAGGAGCTGGCAGAGCAGCAGCCCTGGAAGATTTGCTCTGAGCCAGCAAGGAAACCCCAGCCACACTGGGAACATTTGTTCCCAATTAGGATGGGGGATGCTCCTTGCTGAGCAGGCACTCCGCGGTTCCCCCGGCCTCGAGCCCTTTCCCACAAAAGCTCCTGGTTTAGGATGTGACCTCATGGGTGGGGTTTTTGGGGGGCAGAGGCTGAGCCAGCCTGTGGGTTTCCCCCCTGCCCGTCCCGGTGCCCATCGCAGCCCTGCTCCACGATGCAGCTGCCTGGAGGGCAGAGCCTGGAGGGCAGAGCCCTGCGGGGTGTGTGTGTCCCCACCGGAGGAGCATCACCCGCTGGACTCGCATCCCCCACCCAACTGCTCCGCTAACGAGACCGTCTCTGCCGCCTGCAATTATTTCCCAGGGCGACGAGTGATTAATTCTGCTCAGGAGCTGCGGCTTTCTGCAAATTCACCCGAGCAATTCCCTGGCAGGCTCCGCGCCAGCCCCCCCCGGGCAGGGGGTGCTCCGTGCCAGGGAAAGTTTGAGGAAGATCTGGCTAAAAAAAGCCCCAATGCCAGAGCTGCCCTTCTGCCAAGGGGCTTGGGTCTGCAGATGAGGGGCTCCAGCTGCCCCAGGACCCCACAGGGTGCCCAGGTCCCCGCACATCCCTCCAGGAACAAGCATTCAAGCCTAAAGATTCATAAATTATCCTGGCGTGAATTAACCCTGACACGGATGCAGGCGGGTAAACTGAGGCACGGCGTGTCTCTCTGCTGGACTGAGTTTGGCTGTGAGTGCTGTGTCAGGAGGTGGGATCTGGCTGCTCCCAACACACTTTTGGGGCTGGCAAAGGGTCCCTCCGGCCCCCGGATGGTGCCTCCACCCACTGTGGCCTCGCAGCGAGGGGGCTTTTGCATAATAAAGCCTCCGGTGGGTACTGGGACCCCCGCCTGTGGTCCACTCTCCGTCCTGCTGAAGCTGCCAAATATTAGGAATAACCACCCCAAGGACATTCCCGTGCCATGATGGGGTCTGCGGTAGGGGGACTCCCCATCTCCGGCAGGGTCCGGGGGACCCAGTGCCGGCTGCTCGCCCACTTCTGCTGCATTGGGTTAACACCGTGCCCGGGCTGAGCATCCTCCTCTCGTGCGGGGTTTGCCAGCTGCCAGGAGGGAGGGACGGGGAGGGACGAGGCGCCTGCCAACACGGTAATATCTTTTTTTTTTTTTTCCCTTCTTAATTAGGGGAAGGAATAAATATAAAAGGAGGAGGGAAAGGGGAAGGAAAAAAAAAAAAAGAAGAGTGGAGGACACGGACACACACACACACAGAAGCCTCTTTTCTCGGTGCCTGCACTTATGCCTGGTGCAGCTCTTTCCCAGCCGTCCTGCCAACCTGCTGCCGCCCGCTGCCCGCGCTGCCCCGGAGGAGCCGCAGCTC